GCTGACAGTTAATTTTTCTCAACGTTTCAAAAGTATTACCCAACTGCCTTCTGACTCCCTTTGGGCTGTTAAGAAGTCGCTGTCATTCAATAGATGCTTCATAAGCAATCTGTACCTTCCTCTGAGTCCTCTGAAGGTTTTTTCTTTGTGTTTAGTGTTCCTAGTTTCAATATGCTGTACGTAGGCATGAACTGCTTTCATTTTTCCTCTTTGGAATATACTGTTCTTTCTGTTTCTGGAGATAGCTTTTAATTTTAACCAGTGCTGTAAATTTGCACTGTTTTCTCTTTAAATATTATCTCTTCTCCACTCTCTGTTATCTCCTTTAGAGTCTTTGATTTAAAACATTTTAGAACTTTCCATCTTGTCTTCCATATTTTTGAAATTTCCCATTTCCTGTCTCTCTCTGCTGCATTCTGCATGATACCTCCAGCTAGATCTTCCAGTTCACTAATTCTTTCTCCAGCTATGCTCATTAGCTCTTCAACTCACTGACTAATGCTTGCCCATTTGCTAGTTTTTCTTTCCCAAACGCATCTGTCTGTTTCTAATTTCCCTTGCTGGTTTGTCATTTTTGTTCTACTTGTTTTTTCTGACAAGTTAATTATCTGAGATCTCAGGCGTCTGTTCAGTTTTATTTTATTTTTTCCTGCCTTTCAATTATAGCGACTTGTTTTCTTGTTTATTTAATCTTTGTGTTGCACTCTTCTGATACTGATTGTTGGGGCTCACACTAGGGACTGGGAAGGCTCTTGTACTTTCCTATGTCACAGGGCATTGCTGGCCTCGAGGGTCTCTCTCCGTGTGGAGTGCCGTGCTCACCTTTTCACTCTGCTGCTGGCCAAGCTCACAACAGCCCTCAGGAGCCCTGCCTCTCCCCGCTGCTCATGAGCTTGTTTCTTAGGCCTGACACCAGCTCCCCCTTGCTCCAGCCTCAGTGTGTTTGCTTATTTTTCGAAGTGGCGATAGAAAGTAGAGTCCTCCATGCCTCTTATGAAAAGGGCAGTGTCTCAGAGCTGTGTCCATCCCGTTTTGCCATCCTGTGAGTGGAGGGTGTCACCTGCAAGTGCCAAGGCAGGCATCTGGATTGTGCCATCCAAACACCCTCTTCTGCAGCTCCAGTGGAGTATGGACGGGAGTGAAGTTAGATGTCAGTGCTCAGTTCCTCATTCTACCATCTTTGCCAGGAAGTCCCTGCTTGTAGGGCACGTTGGGAGCTAGATGTAGGGCTGAGGGCCCCACAGGGTTGTGGGTTGAGCCTTATGCTGTGCTGAGGCGCAGGATCTGAGAAATAAAGAGACAGGACACAGAAGTACAAAGAAAATGCAGCTGGGCTCGGGGGGCCACACCACCTATGAGCGGAGTCAGGTGAGGCTCCGAACGTCCAGAAGTGTGAGTATTTATTGTGTACAGGTTAGGGGGCAGGGCAGTGAGTGAAATCATCTTTAGGATAGTAATAAGGTCGTGAGCAATAAAACATGGGGTCCACCCCCATTAGGTCACCTAGGCCAGGAGGTGGACAGCGCGCAGCAAGGGGCCTGTTCCCATGAAGGCAAGGGCTGTGTGCGGTAAGGGGTCCACCCCCATTAGCTCACCGAGGCTTGAAGGTGGGCCGTGCGCAGTGAAGAGGGTGCCGTGTGCGATACTTCTCTCTATGGGGCAAACTACCTCTAAGAAGATTTATAGGAGGATGCTTTATTTTATTTTATTTTATTTTATTTTATTTTATTTTATTTTATTTTGAGACGGAGTTTCACTCTTGTTACCCAGGCTGGAGTGCAATGGCGCGATCTCGGCTCACCACAACCTCCGCCTCCTGGGTTCAGGCAATTCTCCTGCCTCAGCCTCCTGAGTAGCTGGGATTACAGGCACGTGCCACCATGCCCAGCTACTTTTTTGTGTTTTTAGTAGAGACTGGGTTTCACCATGTTGACCAGGATGGTCTCGATCTATAGGAGGATGCTTTAAGTCACACAGCAGTGACAGAGCTGTCAGGGTTACCGCCACCTTCTGGCAGCTTCCAGTGGGTTCTGTGGGAAGATGCTTTTCGAGCAGCACCGTAGCAAGAGCTGATGAAGTTCACAGTCACCAAGGTGGATTGCCGCTCTGAGGGCAGCCTTCCACAGGAACTGGAGCAAGGTCCAACAACTCCTTTATCAGGAGGAGTGGCTCTCGCCCCAAGCCTGCCGTACAGCGGGTATCTTTACAATACTGAACGCTGCCGCCTGGGCCATGGATTCTTGTTCTGGTATAAGTGTTTTCCCTTAATTCATGCTCTGTGTCTGCTCTAGGCATTCCTCTGACTATAAGCTGCTTATTCCTTAATTCATGCTCTGTACTGTGTTCACTCTAGGCATTCCTCCGATTGTGAACTAAAATATAATTATAGGTATATATGTAGGGAAATATTCTTTAGGCACTCCTACTATCAACTATTATATGACTATATACAGAGGATTATATAAAGGAATTCTTCAAGCCCTATTTCTATAAACTAATATATGATTATGTAAAGGATTATATAAAAGGAAATAGCTGAGCAGTAACACTATAAAGTGAGACATTCCTCAAGCCCTATCTGTGCCAGGGTTCTGCTTAGCTCTCATTCCTCAGTGCCTATATGAGGGGTTACCCACACCTGCTCGTTGCTTCTTCATGTCCTACCCTCTGTCTTCCTGCCCCAGTGCCACAGAACCCTCAGCCCCAGTCCCCATGGCTGAGCACCGTGGCGATTCCCATGATTGTCCTTCCACGGCTTGGACGCTGCGGACTGCTGACCACTTCCTCCTCCTCAGCACGCTGGGCTGGGCCAACCCCACCCCATATGCCCAGCAGCCTCCTGGAGCCCAGTGTACCCGTGTTCCACTGATGTGAGTGGCATGCAGTCTTGTGCAGACGTGGGGCTCCTTCTTCTGGCCCAAGTGCCCCCATCTACCTGTGGCTGCTCAGTGTGCAGGGGGCCATGAATGGGACCCTCAGGTGTGAACCTGCCCTCACTCGCTCAGGCTCCCCATGCTGACCCAGTTGGGTCAAGGCCTTCCTGAAGCTGGGATGGGGTCAGCTGCTTAGATACTTCTGGGAATCATGTTAAATGCAGGTCTATATAAGTATTCACATTGCCTTTCCGTCAAAACAAACCCACACTCATCCACTTCTTACCATCTCCAGGGATGTCTCTGAGGCCTAAATCCCCTTCTTTCAGGACTATTTCAGGGCTTCTCCTCTCCATTTTCCTGTCTATACCCGCTACTCACTGGTGTCAAGATGGTGGCCACTGACGCGGTGCTGCTTCTGCACTCTGTGCCCTTCTGTGCTGCCCACCTCATTCAGGCAAGGGCAGCCGCCTGGGTTCCCGTCTGACCTGCCCTCCCACCAGGCGGCCCCCCCGTGGGATTCCCTGCACAACACTCCATTACCAGATGGCATTCCCTGTCGGTCTCCCTCAAACTTCAGTGCTTCAACCCAACGGTGGCCGTCCTGGTGGTATGGGGGCCCCAGAGACTTCTGTGATGGCAGCCATGTAACCACACGTCCTGGGGTCCCTGAGGCTGGGAGAGAGCACGATAGCTTTTCACCTGGGCAGTAAATGTTCTGGCCCCAAAGTGTTGCCTGTCCTGCCCCAGGGCCCCCCAGATCCATGCTTCAGGAGGGAGCAGCTAGATGCGGGTGTCCACAGGAGTCTCCGACACAAGCCCCTCCCCAGCCTTTCAGTGTTCTTACAGACTCACAGGCTCCACAGTAGCACATGGTTTTGTGAGTCTGGTCTTGCAGTCTTTGCTCTTTGACTCGAGCGTTATGTCCGTCTGTTCAGGCTTCAATGTACCGTCTCATTGTGTTGCTCTGGTGTCTGAGTTTTGAGTCCTAGCAAGGTTAACTTGGTCAGCATCTTCTCATGGTCATGCCAGCCCCAGCAGCCCAGTGGCTCTGACCATGGAGTTTTCTATGTGCTCTGACTCAGGAGCATCCGGGATGGTCTGCGTGTGTTTGGTGGGCTCTGACTGTGGGTTCATGTTCCTGGGGACCCTCTGAGTTCCGAGAACACAGTGTGGGCTCTGGGCAGGATCTACAGCTATTTCTTCTAGCAGCCTCCTGGCATTTTCAGTCCTGAAAACCCTAAGAAAACTTTAAGCCAGGGGTTTTTCAGATCTCCACGTAACCTCAGAACTCATGCACCCGTGAGCTTGGGCTTATGTTCATTGTTTTCAAGGATGGCGGGAGGGGATGGCGTGCAGGGTAGTGGAAGCTGGGCCTGGGGTCTGGTTCTAGAATCATCAGGGTTAGAGGGCCTCAGAGCCAGTTACAAGGAAGGGGTGTCTGCCAGGCCTCAGGGTGAGGGAAGTGAGCCTCCACCTTACAGTCACTGGGAGAGGACTGAAGGAGAAGCAGCCACTTCCCAGTCCATCCTTACACCACGCACAGCGCTGGCCCAGGCACTGGGAGACCCCTAGGGTTCCACCAGCAGAGTGGCACTGGTGGGGAGGGCCAGGGACCCTGGTTGCAGGAAGGGCCACGGCAGATCATAGTGAGCCCTTGGGAGACATCTTTGAGGTTGGGGCCTCTGAGCTCAGGTTCCAGGAGGCATCTGCTGGTGACCTGATGAGTCTTGGTGGTCGGTGGTCTCCCAGGAGCAGCAGCAATGCAAGCTGCTCCCACAGAGGAGGGGGCAGAGTGAGGCTTCTGCAGCCTCATCCAGGCCTTGAGGCGCCTCTCCTCTGAGCTTCTGATTGTCCTGTGGGAAGGCGCCTGCATGCTGGATTTGTGGATTTGCCTGATGTGCTGTTTGCTGTGTCTTCTGAAACACTGTATGGGCCAGGGGTGGCCTCTGTTGTGGGAGACTTGTGGGTCTCAACCTGCCTCCCCCACACGCACAGCACTTGCCTCATGGCCCTGACGGTGTCACCAGGTGCCTTCTGGATGTGTGTCCCCCATTGGAGCACATCAGGTGTCCCTGCACTGCACAGGACCCAGAACAAGGGCGGGGTCAGCCAGCGACATTTCTCAGGAACAGATAGTCTTTATTCAAATGCAAGAGATCCATAGCATGAAAACAGCGAGTGAAGTTTCTGAAACTGCCCCATTTATTCACTTCTCAAATGGCCCCCGCCAGCCTGCAGCACCAGATCTGAGGTATCTGCCACCACGTGGGAGCCAGGCCCCTGGACAATGAAGGACAATCTCGTGGAGCAGCAATAACTTACAAGGAGACATAATTTAGAGTAGCCGGAGCCTTGGGGATGCCTTTATCTGTGCAGAAGGAGGAGGCTGAGAGCAGATGGGACCTGGGGACTCCTAAGAAGCAAGGCTGGGAAAGGAGGCTGTTCCCGATGCCCCCGCCGGCCACCAGAGGGCCCTTCAGTGCAGAGAAGGTCGGCCCGGCCTCTCCGCGGTCGGGAGCAGCACGAAATCCCCGTGCCCTGGGCCGCCCGCAGCATGAGCCTGCACAGGAGCTCCCGAGCCCCGGACACCCCACGGCTCCAGGGGAGTCCAGGGGCTGCGGGGCTCTGGCCTTAGACGCAGTTATCAGGGACGCACTCAGCCTCTTCTTCGAGCTCGGGGCAGGGGCTCCCGTTGTTGGCGGGCTGGACCCGGACATAGCGAGTCCTGCTCTTAGCCCCCAGCTTCCCACAGGGGCCTCCGCACAGTCCCCAGGACGACCACAGGGAAACCTCGCAGTCCAGCGGCGTTTCTGGAACTGGACCAAGCACAGGAGAGACCGAGGTGAACACTCACCTGAGGCGGCCCTTCCTGCAAACAAGCCCCACCCACCAATGTGTGCATTCACCAGAGGCCACGCCCACACTGCCTCCCACCAGTGTGCATTCATCGGAGGCCACGGCCACACTTCCACCAATGTGTGCATTCATCGGAGGCCACGCCCCTACTACCACCAATGTGTGCATTCATCGGAGGCCACGCCCACACTTCCACCAATGTGTGCATTCATCGGAGGCCACGCCCCCACTACCACCAATGTGTGCTTTCATCGGAGGCCACGCCCACACTACCACCAATGTGTGCATTCTTCAGAGGCCACGCCCACACTTCCACCAATATGTGCATTCATCAGAGGCCACGCCCACACTTCCACCAATATGTGCATTCATCAGAGGCCACGCCCACGCCTCAGGGGCTTTCAGTTTCCGGCTCAGTTGCAGAGTGAGCCGCAAGATGGATGGCACCATGGCAACCTCAGAAACAACCCGAGGACTGGAGTTGCACGTTTCTACGTGAGAGCCGGGGCTGCCGCTCAAGTCTGCGGTGTTGAAACTCCCACACCGTGGCAGAGTGAGAAGCCCCAGGAGAGGGTGGACTCCTCTGCTGTGGAAAAGCTGCTCGCCCGGAGACTAGACCCAGCTGCCACATTTACCGGAATTACAGACAGGGGCACCGGGTTAGCCATCTGTCTTGCGGGGCCTGGCCCCCCAAAGGGGCTCAGATGTTTCCAATATCATTGTTTCCCTGTGTCCCATCTGGTTTTCATAATTTTCATGCATCTAAAAATCATCATTTTGGTGTCATGGTTAAGTCACTTGGTAATTTCCAATTTTCCGAAGTAAAATGCAAAGCCCTCTTTTGCACCCCACAGGCCAAGCCAGCCAGATAGGCATTGTTTCCCTGTGGTTGTGTGGCCCAGGGCGGGCAGCCCAGAGGGAGGCCCCGCCTCCCTCTGCCACCCACACCAGCCAGGACGGTCAGCCAGGGCTTGGCTCTCCTCACAAATCTGCGAGCACTCTGCTGCCAGCTTTGTGAACACTGAAGGATGAGACCCTTCAACAAGTCACAGGCGTTTGAGGAATTCAAGGATGACAGAGTGGAGAAGGGGGTCAGTGTGCAGGTGCGTTCCTAGAATGGTCTGGCAGCCCTGGCCAGGCCCAAACCTGGAGCAGCCATCTCCAAAGTGGCAGGAACAGGGCTTGCAAAGCCCTTGGGTGCTGACGCTTTGCAGGGGCCCTGGTGTAGGAGAAGCCTGAGAGCCAGGGCCCAGGGCAGCCCACCTGGAGAGCACACAGAGCCGCTGGGAGGTCCCAGCAGGCCCCAGCTTCCCGACTGGAACTGGGGTGGTGGGAGCACCCCCGCCCTGGCTGCAGTGAGGAGTCAGCGAGCATCTGCAGTGCCAGGTCTGCAGAGAGGGCCCTACCACAAACCTCTCCAATGCTGCAAAGCCCTGTGAGGAGGAGGCCTGGGGATGGGCATCCAGCATGTGAGCAGGAAGCTAGAGCAGAGCCAGGCTGGCTTGGCGGGAGCCTCTTGTGTGCCACCCACCACATGCCAGGCCCAGCCTCTGCCCTTGGGAAGCCAAATGTCACAGGAAAGACCCTTGTGGGTGGTAGTCTGTGCTCCATTCCCATAGGGCCAGCATGGCGGGTGCGGGGGAGAGCCTTGAGGGCACAACGGAACGGAAGCAGGCCAGCAGGAGGCAGGTGGACGCAGGAGGCACCAGGGAGGGTTGGTGGGAGTGGCTGCAGGCATCCTCAAAGCTATGATGCCCGCAGTGCCCTGGGAATGAGGTGCCATGCTACCCAGTGGCACTTGCTGGGACATTGGTGAGGGAAGGCGCTTGGCTCAGTCCTGCTCAGGTGCAGTTTGGGTGGAAGTCTCTCTCCCTCCCACCCTCCTCTCCATGCCCTGCCTCCTGCGCTCAGAGCTCACAGCAGTCTCTCCACACCCCCTGCGAGGCCACTCCTGCTTGGCCTCGGCTGACTTTATCCCCTCTCCTGGCCTGAGGCACTGGCCACGTGCTCCCCTGCCCACTGTGGCCTGGTGCCCCCTACGGTGGGGCAAACCGCAGCTCTCTGGACCCTCTGCCCATGAGGGGCTCTTCCCGCCAGACCAGCTGCGCACCACAGACAATGCTGGCACGTCTGCCTGTTGGGTAAGTGGCTCAGGCACGTCTGCTTGGACAAGTGAGTGAGGACCTCAAGCCTGAGCTGGGCAGGGGCAGCACCGAGGCTGGCACAGGGAGGCCAAGTCCCTCCCAAGCGAGGAGGAGGGATCCAGGGCTGGGCACAGCTTCTGTCTGGCAGTGGTTCCCGCCAGCCGTGCGGAGCTCACCGCCTCCTGTCTCAGCTGCCCTCCCCTTGCCTCCAGGGGTGGCTGACAGTAGGCTTGTCATTACTGTTGCTCCTCAAGACGACATCTGTCCCTACCACACCACTTGGGAGGGGGGAGTGTGTAGGACAGCTCTGCACCTGCCTCAACTCCGGCCAGCAAGCTGGAGGACGATGGGACCCATGGCCACATTGGTGGGCTCCAGTTCCTCCTGGGGAAAGTCTGAAGTCCATTCTTGTCTGGAGCCTACCCTGACGCTCCCACACCCACATTAGGTGAGAAGCAGAGACCCAGAGCCAACAGGTCCTGACCCACGACACAGTGAGGCGCTCCAGGCCCCAGGTGCTGCATGGGGCCAGTGGCCGCCACCCACCTGAGCTCGGAGGGAACTGCCACTCGGCCCCAGTGTTCCCACCTGCCTGGGGCCAGCAGGTGCCTGGAGGAGCGAGGGGAACACTCATCAGCACCTGCCCTGCCCCACACCGAGGCGCCTGTGAGCAGAGCCCCAAGCCGAGACCCCCACAGGAACCCTGAGCACGGCTGTCACCTGGTAGCCACACAGACGGGCCATCCTAGTAAGCTTCCTTGTCAGCTGTGACACACAGATCACCAGTGGGTGCGTGTCTGATGGGACAGTGTGTCTCAGGTATTCTCTGGGGCCTCCTTTCATTCTTTCCTCTAGGCTGTGGGGTGTAAGATGTTTCCAACTGCAGATATTGTGGAAGAGTTACATCTTCAGCGTTTGAATCAACAGAATCCTAAATCTCAGCATCATCTTGCAGCACACGCTTCCAATCGCTACTTGGAATTTTTCTGAGCCTTAGATTCGGGTTTGGTGGTGGCCCTGCGGCAGGGCTGGGGCAGCTGTGTGTCCCGTATGTCCTGTAGGGTGCCAGCCGCAGCTTCTCCCTCACAGGACGGGGCTGTGGCAGACACTGAGTTTCCCTCTGAACCTGAGCACCTCTACCCGCAAGAGTGATGCCCCGAGCTCTGCCGTGGCGCTTTCCACAGCCAGCTCTTCCCTGGCATCTGGAGTGTGTGGAGGATGGGAAGGGGGTCTTTACCTGACGCGCTGTCCACAATCTCGTTGTCCCTGCTGGCCAGGACCGAGGGGGGAGGGACGAACGCCCTGGGGCTCTGCTGCAGCCGCACCAGGGTCACCCTGGCGATGGGAGGCAGGGCCTTCAGCCGGGGGTAGTAGAAGGAGTTGGCCGGGTGGCTGGGAGAGGAGGACGTTATCTGGGGAGGAGGGAGAAGAGGTTGGCATGGGGTCCAAGAAGGCCACCTTCGGGTGTGCGTATGGCCTTACTGGGGCCACTGCCCAGTGTCCAGCGCCCTCCGCCCCACTGTGGGGGGACAGGGTCCCTTGTGCTCCTCTCAGCCGTCCCATGGAGCATGGGCTGGAAACCGAAGCCAGGAAGGGGCGGTCCCACTCTCCTCCCTGCGGTGCTAAGACCCAGTGGGGCGGGGCGGGCATGGGGGGCGCTGCACCCCCTTGCTCACTGCCGCCCCTAGAAGCAGAGCCTCTTCTACACAAAAGCCGCAAGCGGCTGTCCTGGGCTGGGAGGCGCGGGCACAGCCAGGCCTCAGCCACGCCACGACCACGCGGGGCCACAGCGGCCCTGGCGCACACGGGACGCCCTCTCACCTCGGTCACCGTGTCCTGCGGGATAGTGGCGAAGTTGGGGGAGGAGAAGGTGAAGCCGCTGTCCGTCCCGGCGTCGTAGGGGTACAGGTCCAGCGCCGCCTGCTCCCGCCAGCGGTCCCCGTCGCACAGGTCCAGGCTGTCCACGCCCACGAACCAGTCCGGGCTGGGCACGATGCGCACCACGAACGAGACCTGCGGCAGCGGCGGCTCAGCGCGCCCGCCCCGCCCCGGCCCGCCCCGGCCCGGCCTGCCCGCTGCTCACCAGCGAGTGCCTGCGCTGCACCTCCAGCTCCGCCGACGTCTGTCCGGTGCCGCTGGGGACCGCGGGCGCCGAGAACACCGCGTGCACGCTCTGCAGCGCCTCCCCCGCCGCCTCGATCTCCTTCATCAGCGCCCAGGCCTCGCCGCGCTCGGCGAAGTCGCGCAGCCCGTTGCTGACATACTGGTTCTTCCTCCACATGCTGTAGTCTGAGCTGTGCGCCGCCCCTGCGGGACCACCCGGCCGCGCAGCGGGCACCGTGAGAGGCGGAGGTCGGGCTTGGAGCCCAGCGGGTGCCCCAGGTGATCCCTCCCCGCCGCCCGCAGGGAGCCGTGTCCCCCTCGTCGCGTCGGACCGTGACCTCCTGTGGGACGCGGAGCTGCGTGGCCACCTGCAGCCCACCCTCCCCGTGACCGCCCCCTTCCCCCACGGCACCCCCGGAGCCCAGAACACCTCCAGCCGCACCCCCGGAGCCCAGAACACAGCCAACCGCACACGGCGGGCGCTCGGCAAACATTTCTTGCTTCAGAGTCTCCTGGACGTGAGCGCGCCCCAGACTGTGAAGCGCTGTGCAGCTGTGGGGGGCTCCGGCGCCACAGCCCTCCCGGAGGAGCAGGAGTCGAAGACGGGGCTGCACTCACCCAGCAGCGAAGACCACTGCGCGGGGGGGCGGAACAGGGGGTACTGCTTGGGGAAGGCCGTCTGGCTCCACTTGCCGGTGAAGGTGATGCTGTATTTGGCCGGGGCTCTGGCGGAACAGACAGACTCTCCCCCACGAGGGTGGCCGGCGGCGCCGCCGAGCGCGGCCAGGAGGAGAGCCCAGAGGGCCCTGCCCAGGGTGGCGGCCGGGCTGGGGTTTTCCATCACCTGGGAGCACAGAGGGGAGCAGCCGCGCGCTGGCACCGCCGTGCCAACCTCGGGGGGGAGAGCCGAGAGGGCTCGGCCCGCACTTTGGGCTCCGGGACCGCCCCGTGCGCCCGCGCACCCCTCCCTGCTCTGCAAAGCTCTCCTGCGGCGCTTGGGAGACCCCCATCCGCGGAAGAGACGGCGCGGGGTTAGATGCCCGTGCGCCCGCGAGCGACCAAGGGTAACGGGCAGGTTTTCGGTCCGAGTCCCTGCAGCTGGCCGGGCGGGTCGGGGTGCGGCCTCCGGGAGGTACCCTCGCCGCCGCTCTCCCCACAGCCTCCGCCGTCGCGGGGACCCGGGGTCTTGCCTGACTGGCTGCCCCCGGGATTAGACCCGCAAAGCTCGGGTCGCCGCCAGTCCCTGGGTCCCTCTGGAGGTGCCACAAGGTTCTGAGCCGCGGGGAAAGTGCAGGAGGCCCGGGCCCCCTCTGGGTGTCTCGGGGGCGCGCAGTACTCACCCGGCAGGAGCGGCGAGAGCGCAGCGGGCAGCGGTCGGGTCCCAGCCAGAGCCCGGAGCCCCTATTTAAGCCCGAGGCCGTCTCTCCGGGCCGGCCAATGAGGCTCCAGTCCCTCCCGTCCTCGGAGCTGCACAGCCTGGCCTCCAGCGAGGAGCAGACCGGACGTGGGAGAAAGGGGGAGAAGGGGCTGCGGGGGCTCCGGGGGCTCCGCTTTCCCAGCTCGCCCTGCCCAGCGACCTTCCCCAGCCAGATCACTCCCCTCCCCCGCCGCGCAGCCGCACCCCTTCCTTTGTCTGTCTGTCCCGTCCCTCCCTCCGGTCCCCTCCCCTCCCACACTCCTCCCCGCTCGCCTCGCTCCTCTCCCTTCCGATTCTCTCCTGGTCCCTCGAGCGCCTTCCTGGTGCCTCCCTAGGTGCCTCGGAGGGCAGTTCTGTGCCCCAAGCCGGGAAAGCCCAGAGCGTGGGGGCGGAGGGGCTCTTGAAATTGAAGCCCGCGTGCTGCACCTTCCCGCGGGGTGTGACCTGGAGGGCCCTGTGCGCGGCCCGACTTCAGTCTAAGTGCCGGCGGCGGCCTGGGGAAGCCCCGGCTCCCGGAGGAGGCATCCCTGGTCTTGGCGGCCCTGGCTTTAAGTCTGTTTCCTGGCATGGCCTAGAACTGCACAGAACAGCCAAGCGGTCTACACTGCGGCCCCAGCGCATCTGCCAGCCGTCCCTCCCGGAGGGAGTCAGAGTGGGCTGAGGGTCTGGGGTGGGGCGCGCAGGGAGTCAGAAAGAAGCCCCAGAAAGGGGGCACCCTCCCCAGGACTCCGTGCAGGGCTGGGGCTGCAGGCGGGCGGTGTGGGCGGTGTGTGCAGTGTGTGGTGTGTGGGCGGTGTGTGCACTGTGTGGTGTGTGCGCTGTGAGCGCTGTGTGCGGTGTGTGTGGTGCGGGCGGTGTTTACAGTGTGTGCGGTGTGTGTGTGGTGTGTATGTATGGTGTGTGTGGTGTATAGTGTATGCGGTGTGTGTGCGGTGTGTGTGGTGTGTGTGCGGTGTGTGTGTGGTGTGTATGTATGGTGTGTGTGGTGTATAGTGTATGCGGTGTGTGTGCGGCGTGTGTGGTGTGTGGTGTGTGTGCGGTGTGTGTGGTGTGTGTGTATGCGTGGTGTGTGTGGTGTGTGTGTGTATGTGGTGTGTGTGTGGTTTGTGTATGTGTCGTGTGTGTGGTGTATGGTGTGTGTGTGTGGTTGTGCATGTTTGGTGTATGTGGTGTGTGTGTGTGGTGTGTGGTGTGTGTGGGATGTGTGTGTGGTGTATGGTGTGTATGTGTGGTGTGTGCAGTGTGTGGTGTGTGTGGGGTGTGTGTGGTGTATGTGGTGTGCAGTGTGTGTATGTGTGGTGTGTGTGGTATGTGTGGTGTATGGTGTGTGTGTGGTGTGTATATGTGTGATGTATGTGGTGTGTGTGTGGTGTGTGCGCGTGGTATGTGGTGTGTGTGTGGTGTGTGCAGTGTGTGTGGTGTGTGTGTATGTGGTATTTGTGTGTGGTGTGTGTGTATGTATGGTGTGTGTGTAGTGTGTGCATATGTGTGGTGTGTGTGTGGTGTGCGGTGTGTGTGGTGTGTGTGCGGTGTGTGTGGTGTGCGGTGTGGTGTATGTGTGGTGTGTGTTGTGTGTGGTGCGTACACGGTGTGTGGTGTGTGTATGTGGTGTGTGTGGTGTGTGATGTGTGTGGTGTGTGTGTGTATGTGGTGTGTGTGTGGTGTGTGGTGCGTACACGGTGTGTGTGGTGTGTGGTGCGTACACGGTGTGTGCGGTGTGTACACAGGGTGTGTGGTGTGTGTGTGGTGTGTGGTGCGTACACGGTGTGTGCAGTGTGTGATGTGTGTGGTGTGTGTGTATGTGGTGTGTGTGTGGTGTGTGCGGCGTGGTGTGTGCGGTGTGGTGTGTGTATGTGTGGTGTGTACACGGTGTGTGTGGTGTGTGGTGTGTGTGGTGTATGTGTGTATGTGTGGTGTGGTGCGTACACGGTGTGTGCGGTGTGTGGTGTGGGTGTGTGTGTGGTGTGTGCGGCGTGGTGTGTGCGGTGTGGTGTGTGTGTGTGGTGTGTGCGGTGTGGTGTGTGTATGTGTGGTGCGTACACGTGTGTGCGGTGCGGAACCCTCCCAGGGGCTCTGGGCCTCCCTTCCTCTGGGCTGCAACTGAGTCCTGCTCCGTGTCAGGAAAATATTTACGGGTCCCCAGTCATGGGATCTGGAGAGCGCAGCGGAGGAAGGAGCGCAGGGACGCTCTTGCTCAATCCTCCCGGCCTCCGCTCGTCGGAATCACCCAGAGGGCTTTTAAGCTTAGACAAAACACTCTGATTTTTGGAACCCTGCTAATGTTGCTCATACGCAACAAGAGAGAAAAAATAAACAGAAGTAACAGGGACAGAATGCAAGCGAAAGCAAATGAGCTGACCTGCGTTTTAAGTGAAAATCACAGATAAGCTGCAACGCAGCGTTTAGACTCCAGACCCCCAGGCCAAAGGCAGATTCCACTTCGGTGCTTCTCAGATGTTTTGATCCGAGGTCGCCTTCACGCTCTTAAAGGTCACTGAGAGCCAGATGCAGCGGCCCACGCCTGTAATCCCAGCACTGTGAGAGGCCAAGGCAGGAGATCGCCTGAGCCCAGATTTCAATACCAGCCTGGGTAACCTAGGGAGACCTCACCTCTACAAAAAAAAAAAAAAAAAAAAAAAAATCAGCTGGGGTGTGGTGGGCACCTGTGGTGGCAGCTACTCAGGAGGCTGAGGCAGGAGAACTGCTTGAACCCAGGAGGTGTGGGTTGTGGTGAGCCGAGATCGCTGCACTCCAGCCTGGGCGACAGAGCGACAGAGCGGGGTTCCATCTCAAAAAAAAAAATTTTTTTTTCATTGAGGAAATTTCTGTTTGTGTGGGTTATACCTAGGGATACTTATCATTTCCTAAATCACATCAGAAATGTTCAGAATACTTATCAATCCACTTAAAAATAACAAAATGTTGCTATTACACATGTTCTATGAAAAACAACCAGACTTTGAACATGAAGAGCCCGGCTGAGAATAGTGGCGGGTTCGAGGTGTGTACCGACCTCGCACTGCCCGGCTCCGCGGAAGCCGGGCCCCCACCGCCCGGCGGAGACGCGCTGCTGCTGGAAGCCCACGAAGAAAACCCAGCCTGCGCCTCGGTTGCCAGCCTGGTCAGACACCTGCCCCGGCCTGCAGCCCTCGAAAACCGCCGTGTGCCCATCAGAGCCTGGGAGCGCCCCTCCTGCAACGGGCTTCAATCTCCTCAACCGCCTGGAAGGGTCCCAGGTACCCGCTGCTGAGGCCAGACTCACGTCCACAGAGCAGCGTGGGGCAGCCGTAGGGCAGCTACGAATCCCTCACTTTCTGGGCTCTTAAAAGTCACTGAGTGCGGTGTGTCTGTGGTGTGTGCAGTGTGTGTATGTGTGTGTATGTGTGGTGTGTGTCGTGTGTGTGTGATGTGTGCAGTGTATGTGTGTGTGTATGTGTGGTGTGTGTGGTATATAGTGTGTGCAATGTGTGTGTGGTGTGTGCGCGGTGTGTGCGGTGTGTGTGTGGTGTGTATGTGTGGTGTCTGTGGTGTGTGTGTGCGGTGTGTGTGGTGTGTGTGCAGTGTGTGTGTAGTGTGTGTGTATGTGTGGTGTGTGCGCGGTGTGTGTGGTGTGTATGTGTGGTGTCTGTGGTGTGTGTGTGTGGTGTGTGTGCAGTGTGTGTGCAGTGTGTAGTGTGTGTGTATGTGGTGTGTGCTGTGTGTGCGGTGTGTGTGTAGTGTGTATGTGGTGTGTGGTGTGTGTGGTGTCTGTGGTGTGTGTGCGGTGTGTGTGTATGTGTGGTTTGTGTGGTGTGTGTGTGCGCTGTGTATGTATGTGTTGTGTGTGTGGTGTGTATGTGTATGTGTATGTGTGCTGTGTGTGCGGTGTGTGTGCTGTGTGTGCGGTGTGTATGTGTGGTGTGTGTGCGGTGTGGTGTGTGTGGTGTGTGTGCAGTGTGTGTGTGGTGTGTGGTGTGTGTGTATTTGTGGTGTGTGTGCGGTGTGTGTGGTGTGCAGTGTGTGTGTATGTGTGGTATGTGCGGTGTGTGTGTACGTGTGATGTGTGTGGTGTGTGTGCGGTATGTGTGGTGTCTGTGGTGTGTGCGCGGTGTGTGTGCGGTGTGTGTGTGGTGTGTGGTGTGTGTGGTGTGTGTGCAGTGTGTGTGGTGTTTGTGCAGTGTGTGGTGTGTATGTGTGGTGTGTGGTGTGTGTGCGGTGTGTGTGTGTGGTGTGTGTGTATGTGTGGTGTGTGGTGTGTGTATGTGTGGTGTGTGCAGTGTGTGCAGTGCGTGTGTATGTGTGATGTAGTGTGTGTGGTGTGTATGTGTGGTGTGTGCAGTATTTGTGGTGTGTGTGTATGTGTGGTGTGTGGTGTGTGTGTATGTGTGGTGTGTGGTGTGTGTGTGTGGTGTGTGTGTATGTGTGGTGTGTGTGGTGTGTGTGTATGTGTGGTGTGTGGTGTGTGTGTGTCTATGTGTGGTGTGTGGTGCGTGTGTGTGGTGTGTGTATGTGTGGTGTGTGCGGTGTGTGTGTATGTGTGGTGTGTATGTGTGGTGTGTGGTGTATGTGTGGTGTGTGGTGTGTGTGTGGTGTGTGTGTGGTGTGTGTGGTGTGTGTATGTGTGGTGTGTGGTGTGTGTGTGGTATGTGTGGTGTCTGGTGTGTGTGGTGTGTATGTGTGGTGTGTGGTGTGTGTGTATGTGTGGTGTGCGGTGTGTGTGTGTGGTGTGTGTATGTGTGGTGTGTGGTGTGTGTGGTGTGTGTGTGTATGTGTGGTGTGCGGTGTGTATGTGTGGTGTGCGGTGTGTATGTGTGGTGTGTGGTGTGTGTGTGTGTATGTGTGGTGTGTGTATCTGTGGTGTGTGGTGTATGTGTTGTGTGTGCGGTGTGTGTGTATGTGTATGTGTGGTGTGTGGTGTGTATGTGTTTTGTGTGGTGTGTGTGTATGTGTGGTGTGTGTGTGTATGTGTGGTGTGTGGTGTGTGTGTGTGGTGTGTGTGTATGTGTGGTGTGTGGTGTGTGTGTGGTGTGTGTGTATGTGTGGTGTGTGGTGTGTGTGTAGTGTGTATGTGTGGTGTGTGGTGTGTGTGTATGTGTGGCATGCGGTGTGTGTGTATATGTGGTGTGTGGTGTGTGTGTGTGGTGTGTGTATGTGTGGTGTGTGGTGTGTGTGTGTCTACGTGTGGTGTGTGGTGCGTGTGTGTGGTGTGTGTGTATGTGTGGTGTGTGCGGTGTGTGTGTATGTGTGTATGTGTGGTGTGTATGTGTGGT